ATTAGCGACAGTCGCCGCTGATGCAGGATACTGCTCACTTACTGCTATCTGCTTAGATCGTCGACCTATTCGAAACGCGGGATCAATGCAGGTCGCTTCGAGTGCTCACGGGCAAGCCACGCGATTTACTGGAACGGAATGCACGGCATGGGATGCGGTTCGTTCCAGAGTAAGCTGTAATAAATACGGCAGGTGATCCCGGCGTTTACTTGTTGTTTATTGTTATCCTCTTAACCTTCTCGCATTCCACTGCATCAAGTTGAAAGCGCTCCTCCTTCTCTTTCCTACACGGCATCAAGACCTACATTTACCTCTCAATCGTCAATATGCTTACCAACGGCGCTCTTGCGCTCGCCTTCCTTCCTCTTACACTCGCCCATTTCCAGCTCAATTTCCCTGAAGCGCGTGGATTCACCGATGACACTGAGGGCAACTTCCCTTGTGGAGGCTACAACGATGTCCAGCAAGAACGCACCGATTTCCCAATCAGCGGAGGGCCGATACAACTGCACATGGAGCACCCGCAGACCAACGTTGCTGTATACATGGCCATTGGTGATAACCCGGGAGATGGATTCAGCATCGTCGCACAACAGCAGACCCAAGTATCAGGTCTAGGAGACTTCTGCTTCGGTCACGTCTCCCTACCGGAAGGATTGAATGTGACGGATGGTACCAAGGCTTCGATACAAGTTGTTACCAACAACCACGAGGCGGGTGGATTGTACCAGGTAAGCCTTTGACATGGAATGGTCCATCATCGCAAGAAAGTCGCTAATGGCCACATAGTGTGCGGACGTGACCCTGGTCAACAACGCCCAGATCAACTTCGCCGACAACTGCAAGAACCAGACAGGCATGAAGGTTACCCAGGAAGACATTCCAGGAAACCCCAACGGAACGGAGACAGAGACAAGCCCAAGCTCGGCCGCCAGCGGAAGTGCTGCATCAGCGACGCCGACAGGTGCAGCAGTGCAAGCGAAGGCTTTCTCGTGGGCATTGGGTGTTGTTGGTGTGGCTGGGATCGCAATACTCTAGGTAGATGTGGGCATTTTGAAGTAGAGCATTAATACCACTATTCGCGATCAAGCTCAGCGCGAGGGTTCAATCTGCTGGGACGTGAAGCATTTTTCTTTAGTGTACCTAGGTACCTAGGTAAAGTTGACGGACCGCCATTCCGCATGTTGGCCTTGGATGTGCACCGCGGTTCCGTCTGTGCATCTGCATCTGCATGTAAATCCAATTGAAACAATGACGAACGCGTCATGTTGACCGTCTCGAGGTGGATGAGATGGGTGTTGGCGCGTATGACCCCTCTGACGTTGCGGGGATCTGAAGCTTCCACAAGCGAGGACATGCACACAATCGGCGCTTCCGTCGAGTTTCGCCGATGGCCGCAACAACTTCACCAGCAACACCACACTCCAAGTCTCGGCCACGATCCCGAATTTAGGTGCGTACCGGCCCCGCGCTCGCTCTGAGCCCCAGCCCTCACTCCAATCTGCGAAGAATCCGGACCCGACCGCTGACACTCTACGCCCACAGCTCTCCCCACCTAGTCATCCTTCCTCAACACCGCAAATATGGATCAAGCAAAGTTGGCGCGCATGCAAGCGTCGGTGCGCATTGGTACGTACTCCAATTCTAAGCTGCAATCGCTTTATAGAGCAGTCAGCTATGTCATTCGAGGGAGTAGTTGCTAACTTGAGTGTGTACAGGGTAAGCAATCCTCTCCTGCTGTATTTTGACAGCCCCGCACCGCAAAATATCACGAACCCGCGAAATCCCACCACGACCGCCCCTTGGTAGCGAGCGACACTCAGGAACGAGATGGCTATGAGGAATTCGAGGCTAACTCGATATATAGCGGCAAGGGTACTCCCCGCAGGAAGGTCAAGAAGGTCCACAGGGCCGCTGGTACCGACGACAAGAAGCTCCAGACCGCGCTGAAGAAGCTCAACGTCCAGCCCATCCAGGCCATTGAGGAGGTCAACATGTTCAAGAGCGACGGAAACGTCATCCACTTCTCGGCACCAAAGGGTACGTCATCCCAAGCGTTTTAACATGTGGATAGGGAAGAGTGCCTTGGTACATCGCAAATATGGCACTCTGTGATCCACAATTATGCCACTCTACCTTTTTGTCGCAGTACATACTAACTCACGCATCGTATAGTCCACGCATCAGTACCTGCCAACACTTTCGCCATCTACGGACACGGTGAGGACAAGGAGCTGACAGAGCTCGTCCCCGGCATCCTCAACCAGCTCGGCCCCGACTCGCTCGCATCGCTACGCAAACTCGCCGAATCCTACCAGAGCATGCAGAAGGAGAAGGGCGAGGACGGTGACAAGAAGGAGGAGGACGACGACGACGACGATGATGACATCCCCGACCTCGTCGCTGGCGACAACTTCGAGTCCAAGGCTGAGGTCGAGTAAGAAGTTACGCAAAAGTAGCTTAAGAAAGGGTCGCAAGAGCCAGAAAGGAGATTACGTGCAATGACGGCCTACCGCATGTATATTGATATGGAGGACTTCATGAATGCAACGACCGTGACGGTCAGCAATCGCGGTGGGTCTTGCAGGCAAAATACCGGACTGGCGTTATGTCTCAGGAAAGATATGAATGAAAATCTTCTAGCACGCTCTCCACAATCACTGCGCACAGATGACAAACCAGAGCATATCTATACCTCACTTGCGAAGCCTCGGAGCCCGTGTCCTCGTCTATTTTAGACCTTGCGGATGAAGTTTTGAAGGATGCTGCGAAGAACCTGGAATACCATAGATCTCAGGAGGACATCACACTAGATGCCCCAGCTACAGGACTCGTATTTCGCGATGCTCTTATCAGGAGAACGGAACGTCTCCGCGTTGTCTATGGCTTCCAAGCATGTAAGCACCCTTTGCACAGCTTTGTATTGTCAGCGACGGATCGGCAGCAAGGGATTCCGGGCTTAAGCGTGAAGTGGCTAGCACCCGCTCCTTAGCTTCCTTTTCTCAAGCCTCCAATATCTAACAATGCGTGTGAACAGCCTGTCCACGAACGCGATTCATAAGCGTGAGCATAAGCAACGCCCGAAGCCGGCTAAAATCCTGATAACGGAATCGTGAAAACCATATATCAAGCTAACCACGCGCTTAGCCCATTGAAACGTCGCACCCTCGATCCAGCATCGACTTAACGATTCGGCGGCTCCCCACCTGCGGTGTCCCTGAGGCTTGAAGCGCGCCTAAAGTTTAATAGCGACGCGTCTCCTGAACTTTTTCTTTTGCGACGTGTTTGTATCTATCTCTTTGTCTTCTTTTCATTCCGATACCCAATCCAAGCGCATCTTCTAATTATCGTTCACCATGAGTACCGAAACTATCCTAATCCTCGGAGGATCCTTTGCAGGCATCAGCGCTGCGCACTACGCCCTCAAGCATGTTATCCCACAGTTACCCAAGAAGGATGGAGTTACATACAATGTCACGCTCGTCAACCCCTCCAAAGACCTCTGGTGGCGCATCGCAGCACCTCGCGAAAGTGTCTCGAAACAGATGATGCCTTCGGAGAAGACCTTCTACCCCATCGAGCCTGCGTTCACTTATGCGTTCCCCAAGTTCAAGTTCATCCAAGGAACTGCGACAAACGTCGACCCCACCGGCCAAACAGTCTGCGTTGAAACCGCATCTGGCGAGCAGCAAAACATCGAATACGCTGCGCTTGTCATCGCGACCGGTTTCACCACACCAAGCCCGCTCTTCACACAGGCAACCGACCGCGAAGCACTCGAGAAGGTTCATACCGCCTTCCAGGAGGGCCTGAAGAGCGCAAAGACAGTAGTCATCGGCGGAGGCGGTCCAGTAGGTGTCGAGACGGCTGGAGAGGTTGCAGAGATTCTGAACGGCAGACCGGGTTTCATGGCATCCGCGCCTAAGAACCCAAAGGCAAAAGTCACGCTCATCTGCGGAGACAAGAAACTCTTGCCTCTTCTGCGTCCAGCCATTGGTCAAACCGCTGAGCAATTCCTCAAGCGTCTCGGATGCGATGTCACCTACAACACGAGGGTTGTTGGATCCACCGAAGCGGGCGAAGAAGGCGCAAAGACGAGGGTGGAACTCAGCAATGGCGAAACAGTCGAAGCGGATATCTACATCGATGCGACCGGCTCACGGCCGAACACTGGCTTCCTCCCGAAGGAGTGGCTCGATACCCGCAACCGCGTCGCATGCAACGACAAGACCCTCCGCGTCGAACACGAATCCGCCGGTCCCCGCGTCTACGTCGTCGGCGATGCAGGCTCTTATACTCGTGGAGGCGTCATGGACATGTACGACGCTGTACCTGCGGCTATGACAAACCTCAAGAACGACCTGCTTGCCCACCTGACTGGGGAGCCACACAAGGGCGATCGCCACTACACGGCGAACTTGAAGGAGCAGCAGATTTGCCCCATCGGCACCCAGAAGGGTGTTGGTGCGTTCAATGGCTTCAGGGTGCCTAGTCAGATGGTATGGATGATCAAGGGAAGGGACTACATGATCAGTCAGCTTGCTGAGGGCACATTGAGGGGCGATCAATTCAAGAAGGAGGGCAAGTGGACGCCTGTTCAACAGGCTGGCAAGGCTGGACTCAGTTCAGGGTAGGCAAAGCTCGACGAAGCTACGATTGCGAGCAGACTTTACAAATTGACTGAGAGCATGGGATATACCTGTAATGTTTTGTTTGTCGCGTCGCGTTCATAGCGCATCGGAATACCCTTGAGGCATAGCGTATAGGTTACGCAGTTTGAATGTTATGTGAAGTCGGCCTGCTTGCTCTCTTTATAGCCAACAGATTTGACTTCATAAGTGACGATGGTTGTGATCTCCATGCCCCACCCATTTAAGCTTAACTCTAGCGCGTCATAGCTCTGAGCTCCAAAATTTCCCAGCGCCGACATAGATGCTAACAATTCGCGCCTCGAACATCGCACCTGATTCAAGCGCGTATCAGTTTCCAGTACATTCACCATGGCAGCCGCAACCCAGCCCTCGCCAGCGCTCACGTTCCCTCGCTCCATCTTCGCCGCCGTCTCCCCGCACCCGTTCCTGCAGGCGCATCTGTCCGCAGAGAAGAAGAAGCCCATACGCGCAAATGGCCGTGCTGCAAACGAGTTCCGCACACCAGGCATCAACACTGGAAGTCTCACCCACTGCAATGGCAGTGCAGTCGTGCGACTGGGCAACACAAGCGTCGTCTGCGGCGTGCGCGCAGAGATCTTGAAAGAGGAAGACATCCCGGGTACCTTCGAGTATCCCGGACAGGCTGCGGGCCAGAATACGGAGGAGGAGGAAGACAATGGCGAAGAAGTGGAAGAGTTGAGGTTACTGGTCCCAAACGTGGAACTATCTACAGGCAGCACACCCTCGCACATCCCCGGCAACGCGCCTTCCACATATGCGCAAACGCTCATAACTCGCATACGCTCTCTCCTCAACTCGACACGACTTCTCCGCGCTTCAGATCTCCGGATACTATACAAGCCATCCACGAACCCCGAAAACCCAGACACAGAAGCGGAGACACAGCTGAAAGGATACTGGGTTCTCTACCTCGACGTCTTCTTCATCAGCATCGATGGCAACGCATTCGACGCGGCGTGGATATCCATACTCGCTGCACTTCGCGACACACTCCTACCGCACGCGTACTACGACGAGGAGTACGAGGGAATTCTATGCTCAGACGAACCCAAGGAGGCGCTTCGCCTTCAATTACGGGGTCTGCCGATACCTAGCACGTTTGCAGTGTTCGAAGGCAGGAGAGAGGACGAGGACGAAGAAGTAGACTTTGTGCTCAGCGATCCTGATGCGTTTGAGGAGGGCGTGTGTAGAGAGACTGTTAGTGTGATGGTGGACTGTGCAGGCGGAAAGAAGGGCACGAAGGACTTGGTCATCAGGAGGGTAGAGAAGAGCGGCGGGGGTGTTGTCGGCAAGGAGCTGATGGCAGGATTGATCAAGAGGAGTATTGATCGGTGGGGCGCTGTTGAGAGTGTGCTGGGTGGGAAGGCTTGAGTGAGCTGGTACGCACGCGATTCTCACCAAGAGTTGCGGCGAACTCAGCAATCTTCATCCGCCATCGATGCAGTATTGGAACGGCACGCATAAAGTTCATCTCGGTACCTGACTGAAGGAATAGCAGAGTGAACGTTGGCATGTCCAAGGGACACTGTTGCAGATCGGACACCTCCTCAACCTACTTAGTCAAGGCGGAAGCGATCGGCCAAAGCGAAAGACGACCTTGTTTTCGAGCGTCTGGGAATCAGCCACTTCGCGAATGTAGAGCAAAAGCATACACAGACGGTATCGAACAAGCACGTTGCTAGTATGGGTACGCCAGCCTTCTCAGGTAGATGCGAGGCGCGTACGTCACGCAAAGACCTCATCGTCGCTCCAGAATCTTGATTTCTGCCTTCTATGAATATCCTAGCTTTTCATTCTGCATACACGAGTCTCTCAACCGCTCGACACTTCTAGACGCGACTCCTCGCTCCTCACCTAACTCAACGCACAAGATTGCGTAACCTGTCAGAACCAACGAACAAAAACGTCTCCCTGGGGGATCAAACGCTCCGTTGTTCCGCTAGAACCTTGTTTCGTTTGTCCGCGGCACGCTGCCGCTCTGGTGTACGGGTCGCTACGTCCCGTGGAGGCTCAATAACCGTAGTACGTCTACACGCCTGTATACTAACACAAGCGCGCGACGTACGCAGCGCCTAGAAGGAGGCTCTGAAGTGTGTTGAAGCCTACGTAATCCACAGACCTTCGTTACGCGCCTTCTATATCCAGGCTTCATCCATGAAGTTGTACAGGGAGTATTTGGGCGCATACAGCCACTCCTTCTACTCGGAGCACATGCAGACACTACGATATCTCCACTTATACAAATCGTGACGACGGTGATCTTTCTCAACTCCACATCTGAGCAGTAACCTGCAGTATGTCATTCAAGTGTGGTCTAGACCGCACGTTCTCTCGCACAAGTCCTGTGCGTTTCATGAAGAGTGGGGATGGTAATTTCGTTATCGATACGAGCCGCTGTGCCACGAGCTGTCGTTGAGACGTCAGGTACCAAACTAAGCATTACAGCTACACTCCGGCTACTGTTAACTTGTTGAATGGCGGCCGCTCTTCTACCGGTCGGAGACTTCTGCCAGGTACGCTGCAGGAACGCGTATGCTGTAGAATTAGCCTTGGGAGAGGACTTTTGCCTGCTAAACTTGACTTGGAGGTCATCATAAAATTGTGATTTGACGCCACGCACATGTCGCGTTCGGGGACAGAGCGTCAGCTCGGACTGTGGCATGCTGCAGCGTGATGACCCGTGGACGAGTTTAGAAAGATCACGTGGGATTCTTTATCGATTCTGTTTCTGGATACAGGACATGACAGCTCGTCAAGATTACCGTTGCCCTGGATCGTGTCCTCATCGACAGCAAGCGGTCCTTGCGAAGATCTCGTTTCCCAGGTACCGGGGCGATCCTCTGAGTGCCTCCCGTCGCGGCCCAGCGGCAAACACTTTGAGCTCCACATAGTGTGGGTTCGGTGGAAGAAAAGAGCATGTCTGCCGGATTGTCCTCCTTATCGGAGCCCTTGCATCGAGGCCTAAAAAGAAACATGTGCAGCAAATGGAAGCGCGCGCGGACATTAATCTTAGGCAGGGGGAGTCAGCACCGTTTGAAGATCAGCCACCTGGGCCTCGCGTGCGACGATCGTGACGCTAAGCGCCCCGAACGCCGCCAGGAACGGAATGTGTCTTTCTGTCCTATCGATACGTCAGCCGTCTTCCAGACTCTGGCAAAAAATAACGGGAGTCGCGCGAACTGCATGTTGGTATGTTTCAGATAGCGACGGCGTACTGCAAGCCTCGCTGCAGGCTAGAGGGAGTTGGGCATCGTCACCACGTATTCTTGCGACTCGCGGCATAGCATTCTCTCATCCTACCCCTGACACCCGCGCCGCCGCCTTCGAACTGCGCGCGGCTCCCCTGGTTCAGATCTCCACCCGGAAACAACTACGCACCTACGCGAATCTAGTCACATCAGTCAAACTTTTGGATGCCTCAGCTAATCTCGTCCTAGAATGGGGCGCCTCAAGCGTGGGCTGGCCGCCCCCATGGCTGCATGTAAATCCCGATGCATGTGGGCGTCCCTGGATATATTATCTAGTAGCCTGCCCACCAGTTTCCTGTTCTTATCGCTGTCTTCACATCGCTCTCTCTTTGGCTTCCGGTGGAATACCATTCTTTCATTCTTTTGACTCTTTACACACTCCTTTTGAAATCAAGAGCCTACAGAGTCTGTGACTCGGTCCTTTCATTTTCACACAGCTCACTCTTTTCGCTGTCTTACGACTCATACAAGATTTCCACATACCCCAAAACCTCAACCAAGCCAACATGCGTTTCGATATCGTCTCCCTCACGGCTGGCTTTGCCGCCACTGCCTCCGCTCAATGCGTTGGCAACTACTTCAGCTTCTACAACCGCGCCGGCAATGCCATGAGCTACCAGCGCCTCGACCCCGGTCTGTTCCCCGGAACCGAGAGCCCCCATCTCCATTCCTTCGACGGAGGAAACGGACTCTCCAAGTCCATGGGCTTTGCGGATACCCAGGCCTCTGACTGCACCACTGCCCGTATCAAGACCGACAAGTCCTTGTACTGGCGCCCAACCCTGTTCTTCACCAACGGAACCAAGCTCTACCGCGTACCCGAGCTAGCCACTAAGATCTACTACAAGTACGGCGATGGCAACAACTGGGCAAACGTCACTGCTTACCCAGAGGACTTCAACATGATCGCTGGTAGCCCGCTCAAGCGCTCCGACGGTGACAACCCCGCCGGTGTTCGCTGGGGCTGCCACGAGCCCGACGGTGGCTCCACAGCCATCTTCGCCAACGGCTTCCCCAAGGGTTTCAGCACCTGCAAGTACGGCTTCGCTTCCGAAGTCACCTTCCCTTCGTGCTGGAACGGCGAGAAGATGGATCCCAAGAACCCCAACGCGCACATGGCCTACCCCAACGGCAACGCTGGTGTCGGTATCGAGAACTGCCCTATGACCCATAGGGCCGCGCGTTTCCCTACTCTCTTCATTGAGTACTGGTGGGATGTTACCAAGTTCACCTTTGGTCCTGATGAGGCTCCCTGGGTCCTGTCCAACGGTGACCCAACTGGTTACGGGTTCCACGGTGACTTTGTAAGTTCTTCTTCACCCTTCTTGACTCCTCTTTTTAACAAGATATAGATGAACGGATGGGAAGCCGGTGTCCTCGAAAAGGCCGTTAGCGAGAACGACGGATGCAAGTGCGGTTGCGGCTGTGGACAAGAAGAGATGGAGCAGTGCTTTGGCTCCGCGAACGTCAACAAGGATAGCGACGAGTCTTGGAAGAGCTGCTCCGCTATGGAGGCTTACGGTGGTGACGATGGAAGCGTCCTTGACGCTCTTCCAGGATGCAACCCCATCCAGTCCGGCCCTGCTTCTGCTACCTCAGCAACTGGTGCAGGCTGCACTGCTGCCGCTGTCTCTGCCGGTAACAGCACCACTGCTTACTCCGCTATCATGACTCCCACTGGCGTCGCTGCCATCTCTTCTGGATACGCCGCTGCCTCTTCTGCTGCCTACTCTGCGGCCGTACCCAACGCATCTTCTGCCGCTACCGCTCTCCCCCTGAGCTCATACTCAGCATACAGCGCTGTGCTTCCAGACAAGCAAATCAACACAGCGACTGGCGGATACAACGCCCCACAGCCTACCCCCATGGTACCATCTGAGGTTGCAGATGCCACTACCTGCGCCAGCGCACCTATCGTCACCGAGACGGTTAAGCAGACAGTTACTGTCACTGTTGATGGCAACACCGCTATGAGCACTGGCTCTTACGGTTCATACTAAGCCATGTTTTGGCGACACGCAACTCTTTAGCGTTGTGAAGAGATTCGAACAAAAATTCAGATCGTATAGCCTTACGTTCCTTGTACATATTTCTGCCGACTTTAGGCAAACAAAGAGACATAGAGGATGGATAGATTTCCTCAACCAATCGTTTATCAAAGACACTTTTTACTTGCCATTAATCCTTTTGACCTGTGAGCAAGATGTGGGGTCGAGATGACGCTCTGCCTTTTATTGATGATTGGGCCTTCGGCTCTACTTATGTGGATAGGTGGAGATCCCACATGCTTACCATATCAAGTTAGCAAAGTTGGTGATCACCTCGGAAAGGTCACCCGTGGCAGAAAGGAAAGAGGGACATGTGGAGCAGAAATGTCAAAGACAGCGGGGATTCTTGCTGTAAAGTTCATGTGTTCCAGCCTCCGTTGTTGTTCATCAATCTCACGAGTACTAAATGGCAAATCCCCAGCAACATCCAGTTGCCATCATAGGGGGAGGCCCTGTAGGCCTTTCCTCTTCAATCCTGTTATCCCTTCGCAACATTCCACACGTGCTTTTCGAGCGTCACCTTAGCACTTCGATCCACCCAAAAGCATGCGGCCTGAATCAACGAACCGGCGAGATATTCCGTCAGATGGGGGTGGAGCAGGAAGTCATTGCCAATGCAGCACCTCCGAACACATGTTCCAAGACCGCGTGGTTCACTTCTCTGGGACCGACTGGTACCAAGATAGTCTCGCGCGACGCATGGGGTGGCGGGAAATATGCCGACGAGTATGGTACAGCAAGTCCTAGTCGCTATGTCATGTTGCCGCAGATACGTCTCGAGCCCATTCTTTCACGAAGGGCCAAGCAGTTGAACCCGAGCGGTGTGCAGTATGGTGCCGAAGTTACCGACATTGTGGAGAAGGAGGATTACGTGGAGTTACGGATTGAATTCCGGGACAAGTCCAGACCTAGCGATACTATACGGGCTTCGTATGTTATTGCAGCTGATGGCGGGCGTATGGTAACAAACAAACTTGGTATTGAACTACATGGTGAAAAGAACATAGTCGACATGGTGACTGCACACATTCGAGCACCAATATCCCTCAGACATCCCGAACCAGAAGCGTTCATAACTTGGTTCATCAATCCGGAGATGGGCGGAAGTATTGGAACTGGCTACATGTACCACCTTGGCCCGTACCCCAACAATCCCGACACAGAAGAGTGGATTTTTGCCTGCGGCATCCTCCCAGACGATCCCGTGCGATTTGACAACGACGCAATGATGAGTCGATTAAAGAAGAGCATCAACATCCCCGACTTGGAAGTTGAAGTCATGAGTTTGAGCCACTGGTCTGTCAACGCTATTTCAGCTGAACAGTATCGCAGTAAAAACGGCCGCACTTTCCTCGTTGGTGACGCGGCGCATCGCCTACCGCCATGGGGTGCTCTCGGACTTAACACGGGTATTCAAGATGCTAACAACTTGGTTTGGAAGCTAGCTTTGAAGCTCCAGGGCAAACTTGGGAATGGCGACTTTCTGGACACATATGATGAAGAACGCCGCCCGATTGGAGAAAGAGTAGCGCAATCGAGCCTGGTTAATATGCGGAGTCACAGCATGATCATGGACAGGGCCTTGGGTATCAGCAAAGACACTTCAGTCGAAGAGAACAAGAGAGCCATTCGAGTCCTGTTTGACAAAAGCCATCCAGGCTATGCTCAAATGCATGCGGATGTGCAGAGAGCGCAAGAGACCCTCGATACAGAGTTCAAAGCCCCAGGGGCAGAAATAGGCTGGTTTTATCCAACTGCTGATATCGACAATGAGGGGCGGGATAACTTTCACGGTGGTCAAGTGGATGAGAATGGGAAGCTGAAGGTCACCGAATACCACCCTTCGACCATTCCTGGGCATCACTTTCCCCACATGTGGCTGAAGAAGGGACATGATGTCGTTTCGTCCCTCGATCTTTTGTGCCTGGACCGTTTCGTTCTCTTTACGGTAGACCCTGCTAGGTGGAACCAGATTAGAGACGAGCTAATCCACGTTGTTGGTATCGATGGTAGGGAATTGGAAGATGTTGATGGGAAATGGGATCAGCTCTCAGAGGTAGGGGGTAATGGAGCCGTTCTCGTAAGACCAGATGGTATCGTGGCCTGGAGAAGCAAGTCAGGTGGAGAGGACAATGTGAATAGACTGCATGCAGCTGTTGCACAGATACTGCGAAGGTAGTCTAATGTAGACAGAATGCTTGCCTATCATCAACCTCCTGACTTGACCTCGTAGACCAAGTAGAGCTTGCTGTGCGAGTTGGCCTGCGATTTCGGATCCAACAGAACAACGCCGCAGCGTCAAATCTCCCCAATTTTGTAGCTAGCGAATGCGTAATCGTGTGCAGTTCTTGCAAAGTCGCGTTGCATAGCTGGAATCTGGATACTCGTATACCAAAGTACAATCTCAATGACCAGCCCGAATCAGGACCAGACCGCGTCTAAGTTGAAGGCGCACTCTCAGCCAAATGCCGCGTATAAGCTACAGGCTCGCCTCCGATGTGATACCGAGGCAGACGGGCCAACGAGCTCCCACCATCCAACGAGGGTACGTAAGAGTGTTATATCAAGTCGAGTGTAAGGCTGCCGGCTAGAGGAGAAAAAGGGGGCGCAGAAAAATCGTCGTCGCCATCTTCCTCGATTTAAAAGCTCAACTGGCTGAAAATGGTGATTTGGGGGTTGTCCAAGCAAAAAGATACCCCAACAGCCTGGGGAAAAGGCAAAAAAGTTCGGTACGCTGTTGCGAGCGCCAATGATGACTCATCGGAGGTTTGAACTCCGGACCTTCAGTGTCCTAACTGGCGTTTGACGGCCGTTGTTAGACTGACGTGATAACCAACTACACCAACGAGCCTTGCTTGATGAACTTAGATCAAGAAGTTCGTACTATATAGCCAGAACAGCGTCGTCGTTGCTGTCGCGGGGCTCGAAACAAGGCCTCGCAGGTGGGGTTGGAATGTGGGAAAATGTCGGGCGCCAACTCATTTTGGTAACCAATCCACGCATCACACAAGGCTTTCTCCTGCTAGCGTAACAGCCTTCGTCTCTCGTTCAGCAATCGTCCGTGTTTTCTTCTTAGAGACTGGTTCTAGATTTGAAGTCTCCTGAACGTGCACGTCGAACGTGGTTATGCTCCTGGGATGCATGTTCGTTTTTTTTACTTGAGAGTAGGTGCAGCGAGCATGCTTGAACGATGACGAATTTGTATGTTGCTACCAGGCGATGAGGGAGCATCTTTCGCATTGACTATACTTCGATATGGCTGGGTCGTAAGTCGCGTCGCGTTAAGTATCGTCATGGGTGTGCATGGTGCTTAGCGGCGAGGTCCTGAAGTATCTGAGTCAGTTGAAGGTAGGAAGAAAACAGCCTTGAGGATTAGGGCCGCGACTGAACATAGTGGCTTCAACTACCATCTTGAATGAGCAAGGGGTTCAGCAGTTGTACGCCTTGTCCAGGCGATTGCTTGTGGTTGAGTGCGAATTCTACGCGTATGCTCTCAAGGTACTCGCGCAGGAACGCGCATGCCGCATTCGTCGGTGGTATAGCGCAGGTACACAGACATGATTCCATGCCATGATCGAGTCGCGTTGCGCAAACGTGTAAATAGTGGTGGTGGTATATACAAAGCTGGTCATGGTGGAGTGGGTGTGAGGTTGTGTTAAAATTTCTCAGTAGACGCAGACAGAAGACGCGACTATGGTGACGGTGAACGGTGATTTCCTCATTGAGCGTTTGCGCGCAGCCGACGCGAGATGGAAGGAGTCACCCAAACAACATGCGCACCTCACAGTCATTGGTCGGCACTCGTCCTCCGACACCAACTGATCCAAAAATAAAAAGAATGTCTATCGAACGTCACGTTGTCTCTGTATGCAAATCTTTCCCTGCAAAGATCTCATCAAACGTATACGCGGCATCGCTTCGCCGGCACAGCGTTCTCCAGTTCGGCAGCGAAGCGAACCCTCCTGCAACACACCAGCCACACTCAGCCGTTGACCCACTCGGATCGCTCCACCAAAAACATCCGCGCCAGGATAAACGGCAGCTCGACATGCGATTCGATCAAAAGTGTCATCCGAAGTGTGGCTAGTGAGGGGCGAATCTGCGGGTGCGCGACCTCATAACCGGCTGTCAGGACCCTGATCTGCATGAGATCCTACCAAGTGCAGTAACGAGACCGGTGGGCTGTGTGGACGATCTCTTGATCAATCGCCACACTGCGACGACTTTGCTTGCTCCAACGAATTATGGACATCGACGGCATGCGACAATGTACATGGGTGTGAACAGTCAAAAAGTATGGCCACCGCTGCCGCTGGGCACTGGCTTCCTGACTGTTCGTACTATTGTTGCCGGACATGAAGCGCTGACGCATCTTTGCGAACATTGACTCTCAGCTACTTGCGATTTATTATTACTGCTTTTTTTTACCACACTCGCTCGTTCACGCATACATGCATTCGCTAAGAGGATGGAATTGGCTGGTCTTGGGGAATGTGGTGGGTTTGGTACACGGCGCTGCGGTGCCTGTCATCACACCTGCACCAAGGCCGGATGTTCGATCACTACAACATAGGCAAGATCCTAATGCGTAAGGTTTCTTGACGTAGATCGGTTTTGACTGCGCTGACATTGACAATAGTATCGAGATCTTGCAAGTGCTCATTACTGCACTACCACTTTCGCTAAGACAGATCGCTGCGACAAACATACCCGCTGTCTCGAGCATACTATGGGAGGAATTCCTAGACGACAAGAGACCGCAATGGTTCGAAGAGCTGCCATACGACATACAATCCTACTTCATACAAGAGTTCGGACCAGCGACGGCAGCACCACCTGCAAGCGAAGCATTGCCAACCGACGTCACCGCATCACCAACGGCATTACCCTCAGAGACTGCTTCAAATGTGGACTCATCGATATCTAAGTCATTATCGACTAGCGCAGTGCCATCCTCTGCGATATCAGGATCCGAAAGTTTGAGCACGATTTCTACGCCTACGGCATCTTCGAGCAGTGCCTTGAGCGAAACCTCCAGTTTGGTATCCTCCTCTGGGACTTCTTCCGAACTTTCGACCACACTCGCGACTTCCTCATCATCATTATCATCATCTTCGGAAACTACCGTATCAACATCCGCATCTTCCTCCGCAAGTTCATCTGCGACTTTGAATCCAACCGCAGATCCTGTTGCACCCGCTTCCAGCGATGCTGGCCTGACAAGGCGCGAAAAGATCGGGCTTGGTGTGGGTGTGCCATTAGCAGTACTCGCACTTGCCGCATTACTACTCGCATGCTGCTTGATTGTGCGCCGAAAGCGAAGAAGATCCATCGAAGGCAGCCAACCTCCGTCATCCCCGGGCTTCATCCCGCGTTTCTCGTTTCAGGATCGCGGACTAGGTGGTGAGAACTTCGAACATAGACGGCCTTTGAACCCCGCGTCACATCAGACGAGCCGTTTCGTTGAGGATATGAATTGGGAGGACGATGGCTACGATCCGGCTCCGATGTCTACAGCCTACCATGGTCATCAAATTCCACCGGCTGCGGCACCTACACCATCCCAGGCAAACAACATCGCGACTGCAGGCATTCCCCATCCCAATGATGGTAATTCAATGCCATCAGCGTCAACACCAATGGCGATGCAAGATAATCACACACCCATCCTGGCGCCCGCACTCTACCACAGCCACTCGTCGAATCGTGCGCGCGGCCGACGAACAAGCTACACGAGCCTACACTCAGTGGCTGAAGTGACCGAACCCGACGAAGAATTGAATGGAGACTCTCCAGTATTAGGTCGCAATAACTCACCACCCAAGACAGGTCCTCGGAGGCCCGGCATGTCCGCTCTGGACACGCTCCCAGTTCCCGCTGTAGCGAGCATAAAACGGAAACCTGTACCCACGAGTCCCATCGGCAGTCCAGCAGCCGAAGCATCACGAGGTCTGCTCCGCCCTTCTCTCGCCTACAACAGTGCCGATCATAGTGGAAGCAGTTCCTCTGGTCTCGCCGTCTCCAGCCTATCCACCAACTCCGGCCATGGATACCAATCCGACGATTCCGGACCCATCTCTCCCATCACCCACCAGCAGCCCTCTTCGAATCCTTTTGCGGGCGGATATGCATACCTTGAAGACTACGGCCCTGAGTACTCTAACAACGGGTATACCGACCAGGACGATGAGCTTTATGGTGGAAACAGAAGCTTCGATCGATACCCAGACCCCAGTTCGTCTCTCAAAAAGAGCAGCAAGACTGAGTGGCCGTTGAGAAATGTCATGGGTGGCGGGCAGAAGAGGACGAGAAGTCCCATGTGGGATCGCGTTTACGAACGCGTATGAGTGCATTCGATGGACAGTAACAATTTCCTTTGTTGTATATACGAGCATTTGCATGCTATGACTTAGCACTGGCGTTTGGTTATTACGGGGTAATGAGTGTTGATGATATCTACTCTTTGATGCGAAGATACACGACGTCTTTGTACGCACGTTTTGTTATTTATACCCTCCTTCGCAGTACATACGAGGCTTTGTAGTTAGCGGTCGAGAACAGTTGCTCAATGATATCACAGTCAAACATTACTTCCGATAATGTGCATGGAATAAAACTCGCTAAATGTTCCGAGAGGTCTACAAGATCTCGTGCATGTACAGTCTACTCATCAAAGGCTCGGTCCGACACTGCTGACGCGGACCCCTTCGTCTGTGCTGACCCGTGACTGCGGCCGGGCACACCAGCCAACTCTCAAACTCCACGTCCAGACTAACCTCTTAGTCGTGGAACTTCCTGTTCTCGTTCTCACCGAAGAGCGTGACCCTGATGGACGGCAGGGCCTGGGATTCGAGTAGCTTCAATCGTTCTTGGAAGGTGTTGTTGATGTCGATTCGGCCGTTTGTACCAACGATCATGGCACCACCAGCACTGTCTGGAGTCAGTCATATCCCACATTGATAGTAATGTTAAACCTACGATCCCTCTGGCAGCGGGTCGCTCTCATCAATAGTGATGGAGACGTCCTTGCCAATGTTCTTCTTGTACTCGGTCTGCGCCTCCTCGATAGCCTTCTTGGTAAGGTCGTAGTCGGCCTTCCGGACCTTAACCTGCAGCTTGTCCTCGTTGAGCGCATAGGCGCCCTCGACAATCAGGTCCTTCATGACGCTCTGGTACTTCTTCTTGTCCTTTGAAACATCGCCCAGCTTCTTCTCGGCGTTCTCAAACAGGCGGTTGAGCAGCTCCTGGCGGGCGGAGAGGATGCGTAATCGGCTCTTGTTGGAGACGGTGGAGCGGGTGATTTGCTGCGACATGCTGGCCTGCTTGAACTTCTTCTCGTAGGACGAGTCGATCGAGGCCTGTTCCTGGCGCACGAGCTTGGACTTCTCGATGGCAAACTCCTCGTCGGCCTTGAGGCGGATTTCGTTGGCCTTCTCCATGGCTTCCTGGCGGATAAAAGCCGTCATCTTCTTGAGCTCGCCGGCGACCTGCCATGGTGGTGCATGTTAGCTATCGTGTTGACGTAGTGGGCGGGGAGCTTGCCGCGGGCTGGAGCGGGTGGGGAGTTGTACCTGGTCGTCGGAGAGGGCGTGGACTTGCGACATGATGGCGGTATTGTGTGGGGTCCTCTGGGCTACGGGGGAGGGTTATGGGTGCTGGCGTCGAGGTATAGCAGTGACGGAGCTTGGAGGTTGAAGTTCAAGCTTGGGCCCCCAGACACCCAGACGCTGCCCGCGGTTACCCAGGTACGTCTGCAGAGGATCCATGGCACGACGTCGCAGGTACGCGATGGTAATATTAAACGTGTCACATTATGGATATAATGGATATATCTCTTGTTCAACCTCGTCGCGTTGCCTCGTTGCTGCTCCCGAGCTCTCCAGGGCTCTCCTCCTGAATCCAACTACATCATCAGTCGGCTGATCCCTGCAACCTGCACGGCGTCGGCTAGTCTTCCCCAACCGTCTCGTGCACTTCACCGACTCAGCGTGACGTTTCGCGACTTCCACGTCTGCGCTGTCTACTATCAAGACTACACATCCCCGCTTCATACCCCTCATACGCACAGCATGCGCCCGACGACTAGGTAGCGATACGCGCAGTGCAGCGACGACAGCCGACACGAACCATGGTGGAACTCTCGCCGGGCGCGAGCGTTGCTGTGAGTACCCAGGGCGCCATACCACCACGGGAATAGAGCGCTAATGGACGGACACGCAGCTTGGAGTAATGGTCGGCCTCGCCTCTACCAGCATACAGAGCGTTGGCCTGACGCTGCAGCGGAAGTCCCATCTCCTAGAGGAAGAGAAGGACGACGACGATGAGAGGCGACCCCCATACAAGCGGCGGAGATGGCAGGCACGAACACCCCTCGCGCATTCGGAGACGATTCACTAACATACATATAGCTGGGCATGCTCATGTTCGTCGTGGCAAACATCGTCGGCAGTACCATCCAAATCACCACCCTCCCCCTTCCCGTCCTCTCCACCCTGCAGGCATCCGGCCTCGTCTTCAACTCGATATGTGCCTCCATCATCCTCAGCGAACCCTTTACGCGATACTCCTTCGTCGGCACAATGCTCGTTGCGATAGGCGCATTGCTCATCGCCTTGTTCGGTGCCATTGCGGAACCGTCGCATAACCTGGATCAACTGCTGGCGCTGCTGGGACGAAACACCTTCATTGTATGGATGGTCATGACGGGCATAGTGGTTGTCATGCTGGTTATTGCCACTTGGTTACTGCACCGCATGCATCCGCGGACCACTCCTCGGCAACGCCTCGTACGCGGTATCCTCTTCGGTTGTGTCAGTGGCATCCTCTCCGCGCATTCGCTCTTAATCGCAAAGAGCGCCGTCGAACTCCTCGTCCGGACTCTCATCGACCGCCATAACCAGTTTGACCGCTGGCAGTCGTGGATGATCCTAGTCGGACTGGTCGTCTTCGCCCTGACCCAACTCTACTACATGCATCGCGGACTGAAGTTGGTTAGCACGAGCGTGCTCTATCCCTTGGTCTTCTGCGTGTACAACATCATCGCGATTATAGACGGCCTCATCTACTTCGACCAAAACGATCGCCTGTCGAGTATACACGCTGGGTTGATCGCGCTTGGAACTGTTATTCTGCTCGCGGGAGTTGTCTGTTTGAGCTGGCGACTTGAAGACAACGAGGAAGAGCCCATGTCACCGGTAGCAAGCAAGCACACAGGCAGGGTTCCGATGCCTCACAATGTGCTGGAACCCGGTATCGGCCTTGCGCATGGCCATAGCCACGACGAACCCGACTCACCTCTCGACATCGACGAAGAAGCCCCAGGCGTTCACGGCTATGCCTCCGAGCAAGCCAAACGGAAAGCGGTCGACGAAAGGACACCTCTGCTGGCCCGCGCTCCCACAGGTCCCGCGGTGACACTCGCCAATCCGAAGAAGCGAGCATCGGTAGACGCCGGTGACTTGAAAAGTCCTATACAATCCCGTAGATTACCGAGGAGACGGCGGATGACTATCTCGGAGGAGACGAATGAGATATGGGATGAGCTCAACGATCGAGAGACTCTGCCTTCTCCTGCTCGGCGATCCGTGGATTTAGAACGACGACCAAGATCTGGGACTTTGCCTCCACGAAGGAATGCTGCGCAGTCGGCGTGGCTCAATCAGATGCGTAGGCGGTCCTGGTTCGAAGGATTCGGTAGCCGAGGCAGGAGCGTGTCGCAAGGAAAGAAGCCCGTGGATAGCTCTACATCACTTCTTGATCATCCCGATCCAGAGGACGGCGATATCTCTGATACAGACATGGACGAAACATCCCGGAGACGACAGACCTGGGGGTACGGCCAAGGGAGCAAAAGCCAAGATAACTTGGGCGACTGGTTCAAGATGAAGTGGTGGCGCAAGAAGTGGAAAGAGGACGAAGACCATGAAGAAGAACGACCTGCATGATATCACTACCGCATCCATTAATTTGAATATACCCAGAATGTATTATCAGAATTCAAGACGCAGTTCTAAGGATTACTACGCAGCGCGATCGTCCCTTTCGAGCAACAAGCATCTCCGCTTTGCGAAAGTCTCCTTGAGTCATAGTCGGAACCCACGTTACTACACTAACCCACATATGCACGACATCCAGATCGAGTAATCCTTTCCTGACGATAAGCTCATAGCCAATCGCAGATTACACCTCGTTGCCCCACCTTATGCCACCCCACTATCCGCATCTACCTTCAGCGTTTCGGGGTCGTCTTGCTCATGACCTGCAGCGCACACTAATAGATGGCAGTGGATAAGATCGGAAAGCTTAGCAAAGCTCCCGCCAAATCGGCCATGTATTTGACGCATGCCAAGCGCCATATGCAGTATCAAAGTCCCAGACATGCGCTGCTCTACGCCTATATGGCGGCTGACTGGATGATGGAAGCAGGGGAAGTCCCGTCAACAGTGTATCTTGAGAACCTGATGATGCCGATGCCGTAAGTGCTGAAGATTGGGCGATGGTAGATAAGGTTGTAGTACATAAGGCCGGTCGTGCTCTTGCGCCTTCCACTTCCAGCGGCGTCTACAACACCCCTAGATAATCTGAACAACCCAACCTCATTCCAACCGCCACCATGCCAGCAATGCAATACTTCGAAAAAGCACAAACAGCCTTTAAACCTCCTCTAATCGCCAACGAGAACGCCTACCTCGGTGACGTCGTATCATCGTACGTCTAGCCTCCTCTTGTCGGATCCCATCAACCCACTACCCCGAACTGACACTCCTTCCCTCCCAGCGAGTCCACAGACCCAGAGAAGCCCATCAGTGGCGGTTTCTACCGTCTAGAAAAGGGAACACCACTCGTGTACACATATACGTACGATGAGATCAAGATCATAGTGGACGGCCACTTCTACATCAGCGATGAGACGGGCAAGGAAGTGAAGGCTGAGAAGGGGGACGTGTTCTTCTTTCCCAAGGGGAGCAAGATTACTTTCAAGACGGATGATTTTGGATTGGGGTTTTTCGTAGGGCAGAGGAAGAAGGATGGTGCGTAGATGGGTGGGGGATAGCGATGGAGATGGGAGTAAGAGAGGGTTCGGAATGAAAATTGCGTGTCATGAACACTGATTAATGCAGTCGTTTGTCTTGCTTACCAAGTTTTTGATGATCGCAGTTTCTTCAAGTTCGAGAGTATCCTTGTATAGCCGGTGGTATGTATTGCGAAATCGCGCTGCTCGCCTTGCTTACCAACGTCGGCGTATTGCGTCCAATCACGAAGTTCATGTCGCAACGTATCAGCCATGAGCCTCAAGTTCTCGAGACGCATTTGTAAAACACCGAGTTGGAAGTTGTCGCAGAATAGGCCAGAAATGGACGCCTTAGGTGAATGCTCGCTAAGCATCATCGGTGTCGCTGCATGCTGACTGCATCTCGGTATTGGTGGAAGTATCAAAATATGGTATAAGTATGCCGCTACAGCTCACGATAAACACCAGAACCTCATCATTTTCACCAAGTTCCTACTGGAAGAAAAGCGCTTCTACAATGTCTACCCCAACCACCTACGCAGCATGGACCATTCCGGCAACAGCCACTAAGCTGTCCGACCTGAGGAAACAGGAAAAGGCCATCCCAACCCCAGGGCCCAAACAAGTCCTCCTCAAGATGACAGCAGCCTCCCTCAACTACCGCGACGTCCTCATCTCCACCCGCTCCCCCCAATACCCAGGAGACCACAAACCCGATCTCGTGCCCGGCTCCGACGGAGCCGGCATCATCCACTCGACCGGCGCAGACTCTGCCTGGGCCGGCAAGAAAGGACTAGCAGTCATATTCAACCAAAATGGGTGGCTTTCGGGAGACTTCCGCAACCTAGACTTTGCCACAATCCTAGGCGGCACGAGTCAAGATGGCACGTTGCAGGAGTATCTTGTGCTGCCTGATGAGTGGATTGTGGAGCAGCCAAAGAACTTGACGGCAGTTGAGGCGGCCTCTCTGACGACGGCGGGGGCGACGGCTTGGTCTGCGATTCGTGGGCAGCTTGATGGAAGGCTGGATGGGAGTGTTGGAGATTGGATCGGGGGCTGGACCGATAGGAGACTGGAAGGGAAGTGGGTGCTTACCTTGGGTACGGGTGGCGTCAGCTGTTTTGCGATTCAGGTAAGTCGTCATGTGTGTTGCAAGTGGATGTATACTGACAGGACGTAGATTGCTTCGGCTCTTGGTGCAACCGTCATCGCTACTTCCTCTTCAGACAGCAAGCTCGAGATTGCGAAAAGTCTCGGCGCGACGCACCTCATCAACTATGTCACCACGTCGAACTGGGACGAAGAAGTCTCTCGAATCACCGGCGGCAAGGGCGTCGATCATGTCATTGAGACAGGTGGTGCAGGCACGTTGATGAAATCTATCAACAGCACCCGCGTTGGCGGTTTGATCAGCATGCCAGGTGTTTTGACACCGAATGCGCCTATCGACGCGGCTTTTGTCCCAAGTATCTTGTTTACTGCAAAGACTGGTAAGCCTTTGACCATCTCTCATCGATCAAATGCCAAGTATGCTGACAACGAAAACACAGTGAAAGGATGTTGCGCCTTCCCACGTAACGCAGTTGTCGAACTAGCGCAGTTCGTTGAAGCGTACGGCATCAAGCCAGTGGTGGCGCACGAATATGCTCTCGACCAGACTGTTGAGGCATTTGAGATGATGGCGAAGCAGAGTGCTGTGGGCAAGATCGCTGTCAGGATTGGTGGAGGAATGTGAGGAGCATGACGATTCTACTGTTGTCACCACTGTCGTTACAATACCTGTCGAATCTACTTATAACATACCTGCAATACGCGGTACTTGACGCGATCCCTTTTCATGATGCATTTTGTATTGCGCAAGCTGTGAGTGGCTTGTTTCGTTCTGTGTCCTCGCACTACCAGTCAACGCCAACCAAAGTTGAGGATGCTAGGGTACCTTCCTACGGGGCACCTTGTGAGTATATAACAGCGACGTCTGTGTTTCCAAGCCGTAACTTTACACAGTGCTGTCAGTCTAATCTCATATACCCCACCCTCGTAAAATGGATTCACTTAAGCACATCAGCCGAATCTTCCTGGATCTTAGCGGGGAGCGAAGAAAGGCGAGCATGAATTCATCCTTCAATACGGGTGATTTAGAAGACTACGCAAAGTTCAGAAGGCTATTCAACCAAACACGCTGGTTAGGGGAGGGGGGTGATGGCACAGTCTATGCATACCAACAGAAATACTCGAAAGCGCTCATTGCAGTAAAAACTCCTATTGCGTACAACACCCCTTACCATGCGTCTCAAGCAGCTAAACGCATCAAAGACGAAATCGCAAATCTTACCATCCTCGGTCGGCATGAGCACATCGCCGGAATGTTAGCATGGTCGCATAACCATCATCCCGCGGCCCCAGCAATCTTCCTTCCATTCTGCGAGCTAGGAGATCTTCTTGCATACATGGCCGACTATAAAGAGCAGCAACTCCGGCATTCAAAACTTATTATACGAACACCCGAGGTCACAATCTGGAAGTGTCTTCGCGACATGGCCCTTGCTCTAGATTACTTGCACAACATGAACGCCGAGTTTGGCTACATACACAACGACGTCAAACCAGACAACATCCTGATCGAATTTCCCAAAGGCTGGAATCCAAAAGATGGGATCCCTGATGAGCCGGTCTTCAGATTAGCCGACTTCGCTCGCATGACACGATACCCTCTACCCGAAGGAGAGAAGCCCAAAAGAGATTTCCTTGGCACACCGGAATACGCACCGCCATTAGCCGAACAAGAGAAGCAACGGCCGTCCGTTGATATCTGGGCTCTGGGTGCGACCTTACAAACGCTCGCTTTGAGAATATATCCCGTCCAATCGCGGGAGGCTTTCGTCGAAAGTCAGATAAAGGCAAACAAACCCGCGCCTATCCTGATTGACGACGGCGCTTGGAAACAACTAAAATGGCGTATTCTCATACCCACCGTTTACCGCCCCCTCGACGCTACACAGGAGGAACTAATGAATCACCACGACGTCCGCATGTCCATCTGCGCCAACGGTGCGGACGCGTACAGGGCTTGGAAGCATTGGCCGTATACTAGAACACTCAACACCTGGTATAAAAGCATGTGGGAACGGGACGTGGAGAAAAGAACTACGGCAAAGCAGCTTGTCGAGTGGTGCGTTCCGTTGATTGCGAGGTATATTCGCATTGCGCGGCATACGGAAAAGGCGGAAGAGTGCTTTGAGAAGGCGGCGAAGTTGAGGGACGAGGTCGAGGGGAAACAGCAGAATAGAGAGCTGAGAGTCAGGGCTATTGAGCTTTTGGATGCGCCTAGCTATGAAGGTAATGGGTATGGTGATCTTTGAGGCAGAATAGATAAAACTAAAGATTCTTTAAGCTGAACGCACCCTAAGCTCCGGTGTGCTATGAGTGTATGTTAAAACTTCCTCCGTGTCCTCCCATTGCTCGCTGTTATCAGCGGACGCGCAATCAAGACTTACAACTCTTGCTTGGTAAAAGTCGAGTTCTTGACCTTTGAAATCTTGAATCCACCAGGCGCCTGAGTCTGGAACATACCCCTAGGGTCGTACTTCTTAGCTGCAGCGCGGATCTTAGCGACGTTTGCGGAGCCGTAGCTACCAAGTGGGTCCTGGTACGCGTCGGCGTAGTTGAGGTACTGCCAGTCTACCAGAGCGTCTTTGCTGGCAGCGAATCTTTGCATCTCTTCGGTGACGGCCCTGAGCGCCTCTCTCGCGATGGCTTCGGTCTCTTCTCCTTTGACAGCAATGTCGAAAAGAAGCATGACTGCGTTGTCCTTTACGAGATCAAGACCCATGACGTTACCACCGCGTTCCTTGCTGTGCTCGGCAAAGGTGGTCGGGATAGCTTGAAACATGCACTGGGTGATGAAATCGCCGTCGGTACTGATGGCCTTCCATGCTTCGACAAACTTGGTGTGGGCGTCGACAATGTACTTGAATACGGTGGCATCGTTCTTGAAGGTCATGGTGAACCAGATATCACTGGACCGGTCAGTTTGATCATTTTGTAGCGTTCAGGATGACATACCGGTATCCCGTAGGTTGCTCAAGCTCGTCAGTAAGGTTCTTGTGGCTTGCCTTCCTTGTAGTGTCGGATAGAGCAGGGATAGCCATGAACTTGTCGAAGCCTGCGGGAGCTACGTTTCCGGCAACATCCTCGTATGCGGCAATGATGACGATATCCTTCATGGCCGGTAGGTAGCTCCAGAAGACGATGCTGGAGCCGTCGGGGTAGTTCTCGACATTGTCGACCCATGCTGTGTAAGCTTCGACGTGTTGTTGTGTGTGGTTCTTGTCGTGAACCCTGACACCACCCCAAAGGTCCCCGGCAGCGAATGTTTGCACGTCGTAGCGGGTGACGATACCGAAGTTGAAAGATCCGCCCTTGAGGGCTGTGAAGAGGTCGCTGTTTGACGTGGCGTTTGCGTTGACGACCTCGCTGCTTGGTGTTAGCGACAAGTCATGTATTGTGTGATGATGCGACGGAGTACTAACCCATCCGCAAGGACAACCTCGAAGTTCTGTACCTGATCACAAGCAAAGCCCCTTCGCGCAGTGTAGAAAGAGTTTCCGCCTCCAGTCAAGAAACCAGCAACACCGACACTGCTTGCTCGTCCACCCGCAACAGTCACCCCATAAGGTTCAAGTGCTCCGTAAACACCACCCCATCGGGTGCCAGGCTGGAATCGTGCGAGGTTTGCTGCCTCATCATAGATAGTTGTGTTCATAAGACCGAGGTCGAGTGTCACGCCATCATTAATGTTGTTGGACCCGGCCCAGGTCGAATGACCACCACTCCGCACCGCAAACTTGCAGTTGCTTTGCGCACCCAGGGTCTTGACAGCAGTCGAAACCTCTTCGGTAGATACTGGTTGGACAATGCAGTTAGGCTGCAACTGAGCACTCACCGACCAGTAAGATGCTGTTCGGTTCTTGTACTGTTCATCATTCTCGTAAAAGATCTTTTCGAGTCCGGCAACCTCCAGCGATGAACACTACATCCGGTCAGCAATGGTCAAAGTTTGACTAGGGAGTACCCGTCACGCACGCAACTGTCATTCTTACTGCCAAGAACCGCGTTCTTGCGGGCACCGGACTGGGCAGCTTCGGCGTGCAATCCCAGAGATGCAACAATAGCCGGTGCAAGGAGCTTCATGCTGTCTCAACTTTAAAACTTAGCACACTCGAAAAAGATGTTGTTGGACCGATATGCCGGGTCGGCTGGGGTTTTATTGCCGCCATTGCTGCAGGCAGAGCTACCATGCCAGCAGCGGCTAACAGCACCCGAAGGAGATATCGCTCCAACTTGGCATTTAAACCTGAAAAGTCCTCCTCCTGCCTAGGTAGGCGGCTCTTATGCGGATCTTAACATGTATAGCAGAAGGGTACATATCCAGCTGCCGTTCTAACACGTGGTGTGCGCATTAGCCTTAGGGAGGGGTGTGCTCCTCTGGTCCCTGAGAAAAGAGGCGAGGGCTCCAGATATTTTCATCGATATGATAGGCAAATATTGTCCTTGGACACGGGACGGTAAAATGGAACCTATCACACTCTGCACCAATGCCGCGGGCGGTCCGAACGCAAGACCCACAAGCTACGGGAATAGCTAGTATCGGCCTTATCCGTCGGGGCTTCGACGTTTTCGATCTGTAGGATCAGATCCTACCCTCATCGCACGCGTCAGCATCGACTCTTCGCTCGCATTGCGGCCAATTATTATGCTTCAGAAATGCGGATCTGAGAGGTGTTCACCATGACTCTCATAGCATATCGGTTATCGCATCTTCCGATCTGTTCAGTGGATTCAGTGGAGACTGGGGGATGAACCAGATGAGCACTGAATCGTCTTGTGGACTGGAGTATGGAGGCCTGATATATAGTTTGAAGTGGTCTGAAGTCAGTAAACCAGCAGCCAAATATACATTGGCCATGGTCTTCCCGATCACATGAAGGTGTCATATCTATCTGAGCAAGACCCCGGACCCCTTCTCGGTAGTTATTGTGCCTCCATGTCCGTGTCGAGGTCAACGGTCTGGCGGAGGAGTCAAGTTTTCCGAGACGGGCCTTCACGTCCAGGCGAGTACTTCGATGCGATCGACATCAATGTCGTTCATATCCACTCCCCATCTATTCCGCCCCTGGACTGGGAATTTAGCGCAAACTTGGCTGTCGAGCCTCCACAACCTTATGTGTAAAGCACCTCCGCCTGCTAGTAGGAGAATAAGGTTTCCAGAGTCCTAGGTGTGCATGCTCTCCCTCGTTGGAGTATTCTTTAGCTGCCGCTCCCGAGACCGTTGTTCATTAATCAACTACCCGTTCTTTGTCCAACGGTTGCTACGTCATGGCGACAGTTAACGGCGTCACAACCATCATCCCTCCACCGGATGGCTACGAGGTCGACTTCGCGAACCCACAGCGGAGGCTGGTGACGGAGACGTACGTGGTTTTCATCGTCGAGAACATCCTGGCACTCGCGTTTCTTGGACAGCGACTCTACACCAAGATTCGGCTTATGAAGCAGTTCCAAATTGACGATGGTATGGTATCCGATGACAGTGGCAGAGAATATCTTCTGACAGAGGTTAGCGTTGCTCCTCCTTGGTTGGGCTTGTTCAGTGGGTACTCAAGGTCTCTTGATAACTGGATTTTCGACCGGTAGTATCGGCGTACACGCCTGGGAAATCTCGATTGAGAAATACGGCTTTTATTCGCGAGTAAGCTGATCATTCTTTGCCTCACCTACCTTTGTTGCGTATGTGCTGATTCGACGACTTGACAGCTCATTCTAGCAGCACCAGTGGTGTATGCTCCTTGCACAGCCCTGACGAAGGTCGCACTCTGCATCTTCTACAGTCGTCTCTCCCCATCCGTCGCCTTCCAATGGGCTGTTTGGATCACCCTTTTCGTCTGCGCTGGTTCGTATACAGCGATCTTCTTCAGTTTGATATTCGCTTGCAAGCCAATTGCAGCTAGCTGGGATCCTCTACTGCTCGCTACGGCAACATGCGTCAACAGAGGGGCAATCTATATTGCCACGGCTGTGATCGGCATCGTGACGGATGTGATGCTGATGGCCATCCCCATTCCGACCGTCTGGGGATTGCAAATGGCGATGAAACAGAAGATTGGACTGACAATCATGTTTTGTGTTGGATCAATGTAAGTGTCCACCGGGAAGGAAAGTCGCGCTACGAACCAATGCTGACTCCATATAGCACAATGGTCACTTCAATCATTCGCCTTATTGTCTTGATCCCAGCTTTGACAGACATGGACCAAACCTGGATCATAGCCGTGGGGTGCTTGTGGATGTAAGGTCTCCGTTAATCTGATATGGTTTCAGGAAACTAACCACAATACAGCGTCGTCGAATCGAATTTGTTCGTCATATGCTGCTGCTTGCCGACCCTGCGACGTTTCCTAAAACACGCGGCCCCGCGATTAGTCGGCGAGAGTCGCGGATCTGAGAACAAAGATTCCTCAGGTCGCAATCGCGGGTTGCGCACCTGGGGGAGTGATGGAAACAGCAAGCGCAAGTATGATACGTTGATGCGCACTGTAGACGGCGCGCAAGGAGACGGCGACGATGAGATTCCTCTTGCTAGCGTGGCACCTAAAGCCTCGGGTGGACGAGAGGCCAAGGTGCCGACCGGGAACGTCTCCTACAAGGGGGACAACGATAGCGAGGAAGCTATCCTGTACGAGCGGACCGTCCAGGTCACGTATGAAGGGGGTAACGGAGGCGACCCTGCGAATCCGTACTCACGTCAGGTCTGGCCAGACGGGCATCTGGCACCCAGTGCCCTGTAAACTTCGCTCCACGCTTGATGCTGGAAGTGCATTTCTCGATATGATTGCTTGCTTACGACATTGCGACGCTTTTGTGGATATCCAAGGTATTTAATCAATGGCTGGGTTTACGATGGATGTCGGATGCAGGGCTGGTACCAACGAGGAGTTGCAGGGTCGCTTGATTTTCAGGATAACAGATTACGTAATCACCATGTCATAGCAAGTCGCGGTTATTGTGGAGCGCCAGCACGCGCCTGCCTCCGCACCATCACAATTTCTATCAGACATGTCTTCTTCCACAACCAAAGCCATCGTCTACAAACCTCCAATTCGAACATTTGTCGATAGGCCATCTGTGATTCTCTATGGAGCTATTCAGTCCGATCCCAACAAGGACTGGCAGGCTCACCTCACAGCCTTGCTCTCCGACCTGCCCATCGCTATCCTGAACCCGCGCCGAGATGACTGGGACAGCAGCTGGATCGAAGACATATCTTTCTCGCCTTTCAAAGAGCAGGTTGAATGGGAAATGGACTACGCGCGCAAAGCCGATGTTATCGTCTTCTATTTCGCAGGCGAGGCTAAGGCATTACAGCCCATCACGCTGCTGGAACTAGGACTGTATGCCGGAACAGGCAAGGCGATTGTTTGCTGTCCAGAGGGTTTCTGGAAAAGAGGCAACGTACAGTTGGTATGTGAGAAGTACAACATTGATTTGGTGGAATCGGTTGAAGAGTTGGGTCACAAGGTACGGATAAGACTGTCGGCCAAGCTTCCTGAGGAGTCAACCACTGCGCTTCCAGAGAACGCCGTGTGACATTGCCTCGTTTTCCTTTTGCGCTTTCAACCACTCGCAATCAATGCCCCAAGAAATGCGCCTTAAGACTGTTGTGTTCAGGTCATTCGATTTCTAATTGTTCAGCTGCCAAGAAAAGCCACAGTATTGCCCCTCGCATTTGGTCTTCTGCATCATCCGCTTAGCCTTGTGTAGCCCGACAGCATGGCTAGCCATTCAGAGTTGTTCATATGCGCGAAGATGTAAGATTGTACGAACGAATCGTAGCCTAACATTGCAAGCCGTCGCATCGTGGGGGTACAGGCCCAACGCAGTGTTCAATGACCGGCCTCGAGCTGAACAGCGGCTTTGCGGATCTAGCCGCGAATTGACTCACACCCAGAAAAGCCATTTCGGGACGAAAGCTGAGTTCCGCGATACGTCACGTGCGTCTGAGGTCTTTACGCGCTGGCTGTTGAGCTCTGCATTCGTCTTTCCACGTGTATCTTCCTTCCTTCAGATCTATGCGCTTTGCATATAGGATTTACGAATATTATCGAGCTACATAGCGACAATGTCTGGAGATCTCCGACTTCTCAGTCTCGATGGAGGAGGCGTACGTGGTCTGGCCTCATTGTATATGCTAAGGAAGATACTATCCTTGGTTGGCAGCCCAAAACCATGTGTCTATTTTGACATGATCTGCGGAACAAGCACAGGAGGTTTGATTGCTATCATGCTCGGCCGACTGGAGATGTCTGTCGATCAGTGCATTGAGGCGTACACTGGACTGATGGACGTCGTCTTCGATCCGAAAGACAGAAAACTGCCTTTCAAAATTCGAAATGGTAAAGTTCAGCCTCGGTACAAAACGAAGTACATGGAGAAAGCGATCAAGCAGGTGATGTCCAACGCTGGGTGGACATCGGATGATAGGTTCAGAGGGTCGAAAACCTCAGCTTGTAAAACGTAACGTCCCAAAGTTCTTCGTCTCGGGACCATACGCTGACTTAGCAAGTGTTGTAATTGCAATGACAGAAGAAAGCCGTGTCCCGATACGCTTCACCGATTATGAGAAAGCAGGCGAGCATTCCAACTTCTACAACGAAGTCAAAATCTGGGAGGTAGCTCGTGCTACTTCCGCTGCAACATCATTCTTTGCGCCAATGGAGATAACCCATTCCGGTGAACCTAGACGATTCCTTGACGCAGGTATCGGCTCCAACAATCCCATCGACGAACTATATCTCGAAGCAATGTCGCTATTCGACAAATCCGAAGAAGAGTTTGACAAGCAGATCCGAGTGCTAGTATCGATTGGTACCGGCAAACCAGCATTACACGGATTCGGCGAGAAAGTCACCGAGGTTGCGAAGAGCATTGCTTCGATCGCAACAGAGACTCAGAACACAGCGAACAAATTCCATCTCACGCATAAGAAACTGGCAAGCAGGGGCGGATACTTCCGATTCAATCCTCCCGACCTCTCTGAAGTGGCGATCGACGAAGCGAGTAAAAAGGGCATTATCGCATCGCGGACTGATACGTACGGCAACGACGCGCAGACTTTGGAGATGGTGGAGCGCTGGGTGAACGTGGCAGGAACCGAGAAAAGTGCGTTGACTCTCGCTAGTGCTGAAGAAATGGACTTTACTTAGATGGTCTCTCATGTTGGTCATGTTGGTCATTTCTCGCAGTATGTAGATCATTGCTAACTACTACCCTGCAATAGAACCAATTATCTCACCGACTCCATCTGCAAATCACATCAAGCCCGCTGTGACGAAACTGTTCTATTCACTGCACAAAGGACCCAAGTACATCAAAGAGTATGCGCCATCATACTGGCAACATCTAACGCTGGACTCATACTACGTGTACGAAACGATATACGACAGATGCAACCCTCAAGACAGAAAAGTCACTTGTACGTATCACAAGTCCAAAGTCAAGCCCTTAGAAACACTAACAGCCTTCCAGTCAGCGCTTTCTTTGAGCAGTTCGGCCCCGATGCAAAGCCATCATCTAACCACGTCTTCGAAACCTGGGCGCGCCTTCTCCGAGACAAGCGCGACGTGCGCAACAGTATACATCGGAAGCCGTTCGTGATGGCGATTTTGTACATGCTCCACGTCGAATCTAGTCTTGATCTCACCAAGATGACAAACATAGACCCTAATCGACGCGAGATGCTGAAACGGTTCTCGAAGTGGGTGCCATGCAAGTGTGATGCTAGGTGTGGCCGCGAATGGAACTTCGTGAATGAGGTCGGGCTATCGCGCGGCGGAAATGGTGGTGATGAATGTGATCTTCTGCAGTTGTTTGACGATAGCAAGTGGAAGTTAGTGTTCAAGAGCGATAAAGTGCGGAAACTAGATGCGACCAGGAAGGCATGGGAAGCTTCGATGTGAGATGAGGGCAGATGTCGCTTGCTGCTTGTGTTCGTTGGAACTAGTTGACAGTTTTCTCAAGATAGAATTTAGATACTAGGTTAATATACAAAGCAACTCGCGACAAGTCCATTGATGATATCTCGCTAACTACGTCCTTCATGCTCAGTCTGAGGAGCATCGAAGTCGCCAATAGAGTATTCGTGTAGCCACTACAAGCTAATGGTCATAAAATCTGTTGCCAAAGGTGCTGCCCGATTCGTGCACTGTCGACATCGGCCGTGGCATCTCACTCGCAGTGGGCCCAGAGTAGTCACTATCACTAGGAGCCTCAGATGGCGGCACATTCGGATGTGCTCCGGGAGGCGTCAGGCCGCTCCATTTAGCCATGATCTCATCCCGAGATCCGCCATATGATGGTATAATTTCGGTACGGGGTCCTTGAGTAACAGTCGGCTCGTATGGTAACTGAGAGGGCTGGTTATGTTGAACAACGTCGACGTTTCTCTGGTGGCGCGGCCGGTACCAGCAGAAATATCCAATTAGCAGAGCGATGACAAGTAAAGCAATACCAGCCACCGTTATGAGAGCAATAGCAGTGGTACTGATTGGATTACTGCTGCTGCCACCACTACCTCCACTACCACCGGCCGTGGGGTTTTTGCTACCGGCGGTGGGCTGGAGCCCGCTAGTGATCGATCGCAGGAAATCATCGATACCCGTGGTGCCGGATCCCGTGGTCAGAACTTCTCCTTCAACTGTTGATGTCGCAAGCACGAGAATGTCGTCTGAAGCTGATCCGCATGCCCATGAGTAGAATGTATTCTTGTCGCCAAGGGCAGAAGTGCGAGCGTAGCGGAAACACTGTTGTGCTTGCTGCGAACTGTAGACTGAGATGAGCATTCATTCTATTACGAAAACTCTGGAGGGCATACCATTGAAGAATTGAGCCATATATGGACGAGCAGGTGTCGGCTGGGAGGGAATAACCGAAACAATCTGTCTGACCGTACGGTCTGCATGTAGCCCAATTATCGAGACACTCAACGTTATTGCAGCATGCGAAGCCGAGGTCAAGTTGTTGTGTAGTGATGCAGTTATAGTTTTCCGCACATGTGATGGGTAATTCTGTTGCAGGTTAGATGTTGGCCGCATCCCCCAGGGTAAAGATCAATGCACCTGAGTTGCCACGAATGAAGCCGCATGTCGCAACGGATCTTTTGAATATATCGCCATGTAAAACAGGAGCCGGCGTGATAAGACTCTCTGGTATCGCTACCTGTACTCCTGTCGCCCGTACTTGTGGATTGGGGATGTCTTTTCCAGCGACCAGCGCGGCGATATTCAAAACATAGAAGCGGAGACTTGGTCGCATCGTCATCTACGGTAAAGCGGTATGGAACAAGTTCGTGTGGTGTTGTGAGTGCCAGCGAGGAATGCGGTTTGTGCACATGCGCTGTACCTGCTTCTACCCTCGGCTACCCTTGTTCCACGAGCTGAGAGAGCAAAGTATCAGCCTTCCTGCGCAAGTATGCATGTGTAACACATCGGTCTGGCCGAGCGCCACCAAATAACGATATCTCGTATCTTTGGGTATCATGGATGCCGACGGCTTGTAGGACCTTGGGTTAAGCGTGGGGTGATTCATGCAAGCCTATTGAAGCACCTGTAGGCAGCAATGTCAGCCGTTGTCCGAACGGACCTATCGCGACAGTTTTCTTCTTGAGGACTCTGTATGAAATTAGTGATAATCAAATGGTGTTGTACGCTGATCTGTAATGCCTAGGTTGTTGGCGAGAATAACAACCTGTTCGTGCGATCAAGTCCTAAATGCCAAGTTCCGCAAGGCTGAACCGAAGAATCGATGCAGCGCGATATCACTGATGGAGCGTGAGGACCATTGGAAGGGCACATGCTGGATATTGAGCTTGGCGGGCTGAACGTCTGCCTCAGGGATGAGCGTGGCTGGATGGCAGCTGCAACGCGCCGTGAAACTCACTTCCCTGGCGCGGTGCAATCGGAAAGTAGCCTTTGCGATTCGGGTATCGCATCAGCCCCTAGAATGGTATTGTTATTGGCTCTCAGCTCTCAAAATGAGGATATGTTGAGAAAGCTGATGCATGTGGAGGAGGCAACGGGGGCGGACATTCGGGCGTTGCCCATCTGGCAGTGGCGCTAAGTCACATGCGGCGCTACTGCACTCCAGCTTCCTCTAGGTCGCCCGCTCGGTCGCTGTCAATGTCAACTTTCACATCGTTTCGCCAAGCGTGAGAATTGGTGGCATGAAACTGTTTGATTACCAGTGCCACAATGAATGAGCTCTTGAATTACCCAAGACTACACGGGTCATGCTAAGCTGTCGCCCAGCGTGCTCTCCCTATAGAGTATATGGCTCTTGCTTCCATGAAACCCTTCTCTCATCCCTCATTCTATCGAACCTTACGACGCTCTGTAGCAAAACTTGGGCACCAAGTGCACAGTCCTCTTCCTTGCAGAACTCCCTTGGGTTGTGGCTCATACCTTCTCTGCACGGCACGAAGATCATGCTGGTCGGGCAGCGCTTACTCGCATAGACGCTATCATGCCCAGCACCAGAAGTCATCTCCATAGACTGGTTAGGGCCGAGAATACTGCGCGCGGATTGGCTGACAGACGTGATGCAGTCTGCGTGGAACTTGGTTGCTGGGCTGTCAAAATCCTCGACTATCTCAACACTGAGTGGAAGACCGCTTGTGCAACCGTGGTTTGAGCCTTCAACATCTTCGCCTGCGGCGATCTTGGGAAAGTCGCGGAGAACTAGTTCCTTCATCTTCGCGACTGTCTCGTCTTTCGGTGCCCTGATGTCGAGGCTGAAAGTTACCTCGCCTGGCACCGTGTTTGTTGAGCCGGGCTTCAGGTTGAGTATACCCGTGGATGCTAGTGCGGCGTTGGCGGTTGCAAGACGATGAGAATGGAGGATCATTTTGCTCGCTGTCAGCAGCGCGTCAGCTCGCGACTTGAGATCGGTAGTTCCGGTATGCGTGTCTCGCCCCTTGACTTTGATAGTCATCCATTTGTAAGCTTGCACTCCAGTCACGACTCCGATCTTCTTGTTTGCCATCTCCAGAAGTGGGCCCTGTTCGATATGAAGTTCGAAGTGCGCCGCCATGGGCATGGCCTCGTAGCTCGCTGGTGTATTCCCCAGGTAGCCAATGCGCTCGAGCTCAGACTTCATGGTTGCGGTTCCAGGATGAACTTCGCGAAGGTTATGCGCCGTTTCAAGAGGAATAGAGCCCGCCCAAACTCCGCTGGAAACCATTGACATTGGGAAGCGCGCACCCTCCTCGTTAGTCCAGTTGACTACGCCGACAGGGTACTCGGTCTCCGTCCAGTTGTCAGCGAGCACTCGGAGCATCTCCACGCCAGCAGTAACACCCAGAATGCCGTCATATCGTCCACCAGTAGGCTGCGTATCCAAGTGACTTCCTGCAAATGTAGGTGGTTTGTCGTTCCGTAGTCCCGGTCGCACAGCGAATTGATTTCCCATGGCGTCAACGGTAACCTCACAGCCGAGTGCCTTTGTTGTTTCTGCAAACCAGTCACGTGCAGTCTTGTCTGCATCAGACAGCGCCAATCGCTTCATACCCGTCTCCGTTGGCTTTCTGCTGTCGTCAGCCACATGCATATCCATTACTTAGACCACTTACTCGCCCCATGGCTCGCCTATACCCCACTGGCATGTGTCGTGAATATCCTTCATTAATCTCTCCTGGTTGACTTTCAGATCTCTCATCGAATCATCATTCATCTCCTTCGTTCTGATCTGCCATTGTGGCGAATTAGAGAAGCATCTAACATGCTTGCATGCTATTCCTGCTCTGGGAGTAGGTACAGCTCTCGGTGCGGGGTAGCGTCTGCTTGCAAGGCGGAGTGCAGTCGGGAACCTGTTAGCCAGCAGAGCCATTATGTGGTGGGAAGTGAGGAAGGGAAGAGATGAAAGTCATGGCGGCACGGGTCATGGAAGTCGGCATCTCAAAGGATAACATGACATGACAGGCGCCCAGTCGTAAGGAAGGGGCGGGTCGGATGTCCGATAACAGTAGTGCGGGACTATCCCGCTTTCTAATATGCAGGTTATCCGTCGGCTAATGGAAGCATGCGAACACGCGATGATAAGGCGGATGGGATAGACATTAGTTGAAGAATGGCAGTTTGTAGCTTTGGCAGTTTGTTCCAGAAAGATGCTGAACTCATGGGGCGAAATGGGTGCGCCCCATGTGCTAATAATGTGTGTATTGGTATGGGGTATCTATAGTGTAGCTTATCCTTAACGCCTTTGTATGCTGCTCAAATCAAATTGCCTCCGCGACTTTTTCTGGCTGTGCGACGGATCTCAGACGGCCTTGCCTTTCCCCTTTCCTTCGATGACCGGCTTGACGTCCTCCTCGGAGACCTCGTCCTCTTCCTCGCTATCGCTCATGAACTCATCATCTTCGTCGTCCCAGCCAAACATGGCCCGTTGTTGCGCAGGTTTTGACGAAGAAGCGGTCGGTCGAGCCTCGTCCTCTTCATCCTCTGAGCTATCTCGTTGTGCCATCAGCATCTTTTCGATAGCTTCTCTCGTCTTGTTCTCTGCTTCCTCTTTGTCCTCAACCCACTTCCCATCAAGACGTGCTGTGCCTCTGCTGTTTTGTAGCTCTTCTTGCTTGCGCTCGGTGCTGGCCACGATGTCCTCCCACTTCTTCCGTCGCTCCTCCTTTTCGCGCTGCTCCATCTCGGGCTTGATCGCGAGGTACTCGGCAAGCACCTTGGCTTCAGTGACTGTGCGCAGGCGTCGCCCATCCAGATTTCGAGATGATCCATTCACGTCGCCCTGCTTCTTCTTGCGCGAGGACATGCGACCACCCTGGGCGCGCAGGATAGATCCGAAACCACCCTTTCCACCACATAGCGGTACGGTCAGGCGTAGGGATAGAAAAGTGTCTGCAGGCGAGGACAGGAGCGACGACACGGGCGCAGCGTCATGACGTACGGAGCGGCGC